CCCAAAGCTGCTTCTTTCCACCACAACCTTCAATCATACTTGAATCCTGTGCTCTCTTGTGGCAAAACCCCAGAGGGAACTGCCCAAGGCTTTGGTACCTGCACTGTTTGTTAACACCAGGGGCTGAATCTTTCTGCTCTGATTTCCTGCAGTACCAAGAACTCATTCTCAAGCAGTGCCAATTCCTGGCACACACACAGACCATTCCCACAGCTCCCTGCAGACAGCAGGTCACACAACATTCAGCACAAGAGAGACAAACCAGGATGTCTTCAGCTTCTTCAACCTGCAATCTGCTCCAGGGGAAATATTAACCACTCTGAAAAAGGGGAATTTCTTTCTGGGAAGCATCTAAGTGCAAATTGCTCTATGGCTTGTTATTCCAGGCTTGGAATAGCTCTTTGGATTGAGTTCACCTACAGTGAGACACACCATGGGACTCTGGTTTACTTCTCTCTTCTGCAGTGAGTGAGAGCTCAGAACCTACAACAAAAACTTGTTGAAGACAGTGATAATGCAATATACTAACAGTTCTGTTTTTCCCCTGAGTGTTTTCTTCGGGATAAATATGACAAACAGATCAATATATTTTGAGATCTGTTGCACATTCAAATTTGTCAATGACATCTTGAAGTATTTCTCTTCATACAATGTCAACAGCTCTTATTCCACATACACTTGAAAAGCCAAACAACCACCTAAGTTTTTAGAAAAGACCATTTGGTTTCAATTTCCTCAGGCATTATTTGCTGCAGACTTTGTGGCATGATGCTGTACAACCTCTTGCCTGGTGAAATGCAGCTCTCAGTGGAAGGTAACGTGACAAAAACCCCTCTATATCCCAGTCCAGTCACTATGTTCAGCTGTAATAATGGGCACATTCTTCCTTCTTTTGCAGTTCACACTGTTCAGCCCTTGATCACTGCAAGTTACATGTCAGGATCTTGGAATTTCCTGCATACTAATGAGTTCTATCCCACTGAACCAGCTACTGGTGCTAGCCAAGAGGGAAAAAAAATAAAAATGAACCACTCCACTGTGTCCTTGTGCACAACAATAAAACACTGCAGGGAATAACTGCAATTTATCTGGACACGATGGAAGGTAAGGAAGCATTCAGAAAGGCTTCTGGGCAGGCAGCAGTGTGTGTATCCTTTGAGGCTATACCTTGGCAAAGGACTTGATCCATTCCCAACTCCATGGACTCAGCTGGCATGGAGGAGCCTCAGCAATCTCTGTGTTGTCCTGTGCTTTCCCAGATCTGCAATTCCACATGGAAGTCTCAGGGCAGGACAAAATAACTGTTCTGTTTTCTATTCAATTCAGACCTCTAAGTACCCCCCAAATATGCCAAGGAGTAAATCATTCTCCTGTCAAAATGGCTGCTAACACTTCATCCCAACTTGTCATGTTATCTTTACTGCTCTGAGTCCTCTCAGACAATGGGGAAGAGTTTCTCAGGCCAAGTATTCCGTAACTCCTGCACCTTTCAGCAATTCTAGTTTGCAAACTTACTCCTATTTTAGAACCACTCAAGAGGTCTTGAGACAAGCAACAAACTGCTCATCTATTCACACTCTGACTTCACTACATTTCATCCACATCTGAGTTTCCGCAGCTTAACTCAGAAGCACACAGAAAAGCACATTATAACAGTTAAACATGGCACAGGAACATTTTGTATGGAGCAGAGGATTAGTTTTATTTCCAGGCATGAGAAATTTGAGACCAAACTTCTCACGAACACAACTCCTTTGGAAAACAAAATGCCATCAGGATGTGGCACCAGTTTCTCCTCTCCTCATCCAGTTTTATTGCACAGACTTTGCTCAAGTACAAACAGAACAGAGGTGAACAGCACACAGTGACAACCTAAGGCCTGGACGATGTATAAAGTGTTCGTACAGAGTGAGGAAAATCAACAGGAAATGACTCTGCAACCCATAAAAACTCAAGACATTTTCATCACTTCTGGAGTTCACAGAGAAAAATTGACAGTACCAAAGAGAAGTATAAATTACATTAGGCACACGGTGACATGGTGTAGTAGGAAAGAATCCAGGGCTTGGAACAAGCCTTTTGAAGCACGATAGAAAGGTTAAGGCATTGCTGCAGGGTTGGGATCCAACCAGCTATGTTAAGGGCATCTTTGGGTCAGTGGAGTTTTTCATCTGCAGGAAATCTCTTCTTTACCTGCAAAGCAAGAGGCAACTTCATTATTCCTTTCCATGGAGACAACTGACACACTGAAGACCTGGCTGTTAGCACAACTGCTTCCAGTCCACAAGTGCACTGAGAATTGATCAAGAACTGTAGGTAATTCTTGGCAGTTTCGGTTCTGAAGGTACTTTCACTCTAAGCTGATAGAACAACTATTTCACTCACACATTTTCACTGCTCTAACAGCAGCCAGTGCCCTGGATGACAGTCCTTCTTGCACTTGCATGGAGATAGTTCCTGCTCTGAGAACAGAACTGACCAGTTTAAGGAGAAAAAGGAGCACTGGATCATGTTAGAAGGCTCTACAGTCCACACTGACCAGAGCTGCAGAGCTCTGTGTGCTCCTACACACTGCCAGCCAAGCCTTTAAGTGGGTGATGTATCAAATCACTTGTTCTATAATCATCCCTTCAGCTGGAGGGAAACTGAAAACATGGAGCAAACCTGTGGCATGTGGCACAGATCGATCAGGTTGGCATATGTAGAGTCCTCAGGAGAAGGTGAGGAGCTCACCAGAGCATTTTCAGCTTGCTCTGTTGGTCAAGGAAAAGGAGTTTGTTCAGGCTGTCATCATCTTTAACTAAGATTTCTCCACTCTTTGAGTTAGGACTTGATTCTCTTTGCATTGTCCATCCTAATCCATCCAAACCTCCACTGAAAGGAGTAGGAAGCAGAGAAAAGTTGAATACCTGAGCCTTGACTGCTGGAAAAACACATCTTAAAAGCCAAAAATAACTGGTGGGTGTATTTATGGGAATCTGTGCAGTGTCAGGGAGATATATCCCAACTCTTATCAGATAGAATCTAATTCACAGCTGCTGTCTAGTCAGAGACTCCCCAGGAGGCTCTGAGCATACTGAGCAAGGACAGGACACAGAGCCTGAGCAGGGCACTCACCTCCCTCCACACTGCAACAGAAACTCACACAAGGATGGTGTGTCCTGGGACAGCACATTTCCAGCACAACATACAGACATCTGAGCATTATTATGTGCTTTTACTTTTTCAAACTGTTCTGATACAAGAACCTTCATTTTATTCCAAGGGTTAAAACAAGCTGTTCCATGTAGCACAGCAGCATCTGCTGTGCAGGTCTCAAAACCTCCATCAATGAGCTTAAAAACGACAGCTCAACTCCTCACAGACTCTTAGGCCATCTTCAAACACACTAGTTCCCTCTCTTCCTTGGTACAAATTTACTCCAGTTCTCTGGAAAATCCTTCACTGAAATGGAGGGGGAAAGGGCTGATCCTTTCAACAGGCACCTGGAGTTGTATCCCATCCTGATGGATTAGATATCAGGCAGAAGTTTTCCCTGTGAGGGTGGTGAGACACTGGCACAGGTTGCCCAGGGAGGCTGTGGCTGCCCCAACCCTGGCAGTGTTCCCAGCCAGGTTGGATGGATGAAGCCTTGAGCAACCTGCTCTGGTGGGAGGTGTCCCTGCCCAGGGCAGGAGGCTGGGGCTGGATGATCTCTAAGCTCCATTCCAACCCTCTATGATTTCCAGGTTGTCCTTGCTGGTTCCAACACACAGACCACAAAGCCCAATTTTGATATCCAAGGCATCCATTCGTTCCAGATAATCACATTTCCACTCCAGGCAACTGAATGGGATTCAGGGATCTCTATGCCCAGGACCAAAATACACTGTTCTCTGTTTTAGCTAACTAATTATATGTTACCACACAAGCAGGGAAAATGCTCCTAGGAAATTCAGCCTGACTGACTTAGCTAATTACAGGCCTCTGCTTGAAGCAGGGCCAAGTCTACCTTTAGCTGCTGTTTGGTGCTTAAAAGAAGCTACAGACACACACACACACATGCCCCAGTGTGGCAGCATCACAGTTGTCATGAAGTTTTCTTTGCCTGAGTGGAAATGCCCAGGACACTTTACAGACAGCATCAACTGAGCTGTAATGTCATCTGGCATTGCTGTATTGGATTAAGACTGTTGTACATGGACAAAAAATACCCCCAGTAGCTCAGGTAAAAAAATCTAAGTGGGTCTAATTAATCAGTTACCGGCATAAAAACTTAAGATCATGGTGCTTGTTAGCACATCTCCTTCATTGCAACCTTCAACTCCAACTGCTGCTGGGCTGGAGAAACTCAATAGCATTAAGGTACTTGGAGTCCAAGACTTGATTTTTGCTGGCCCTGTCAGAAAGCCCAGGAACTGCCACAACCACATTCCAGCAGCACTGCCCAGCCAGCAACCACCAGGCTCACCTAGGATTAAAGCTGCACACAAGGCTGTCATTAAACACATAATAACCCCCCAAACTCTGAGCTTGGTGCTACACACTGGCAGCAGATAAAGAACACTCTAATCACTGTTCTTGCTCTGACTTCCCAGATGAATGAGGGCAACTGTGTGTTGCCTTGGAAATCAGGCCAGGTCGTAGATGAAATGGTAGCAGGCTTGGAGAGATTGTTCAAGATTAGGAAATCCATTTGTGCTCCCTATTAAAAGCCACCCCAGCCCAATTATACTTTTCTTTGTAGGAGGAAATGTTTTGTTCTCCTTACAACCCCCTGAACACAGCACCACATGACAGGGGAGAAAGAAAAAGAACTGTCAAGAATTCAGTCCAAGCTTTTCACTATCCAGTCAAGACTGACATCCTAAATATGTTTTGTTGCAGCCCAGAGACAGATTTCTCCTGCAGAAGAGCCACAGCAGCTCTGAGCTTACACACTTCTCCTGGAGCTTTAACATACCAAATACATGAAGAAATCTGATCATACTCACCTAAACTGCAGCAGAGCACAGACATCCTCAAGGCCAGTGAAACTGGAGGTACCAGATTGTTTCATTGCTTAACTGTGGCCCAAAGAGAGGGTTGAGCTGAGCCAGAATCGCAATCAGCCAACTGCAAGACAAACCCCAATCCAAGAGAGAGACATCAGCCAAATGACAAAGGTTAGGACAATGGAAAGGCTTGGCCAAAGCACAAGGACTATCAGAGAAGAAAAGACCTCCAGGAAGGTCTGGTAACAACTGAAACTTCTCCTCAAGCTCACAGACAAGGACCAGACACCAGCAATGAGGTTATGGTACCAAATCACTCCCCAACCGAAACAAGAAATTGCCCTGTTCAATTGGAAGCAACACAAAACCACCTGAGAGCATTTCCCTTTGACAGGAAAGTGTTGTCAGACACATAAGACTCAGGTGTTTGTGGGCTCAGAAGATAAAAACATAAAAGACAGAGCTTTTGCTCAGTGCCTTTGAAGCATCCTTTAAACAAAACCCTCTGAGGAACACACACTCTCTCATTTGCTTTTCAGTGCATGACAACCTGATGTAGTATATTTTGCAGAGATTGAACTAAAGTGAATTTAAACCCAACCCAGAGGTCAAGAACAAGGACCTGAACCAACAAGGTAAAATGCTATGGGAATACATATAGAAAAAGACCAAAAAACTCCCCCAACAACCAACCCAATAGGACAACAACCCTCAGACCAAGGGCAGAGCAGCTTTGTCATCAGAGCAGAACCACTGCAGAAGCCCCAGGACTATGAATAAGAGGAATGTAGTTTGTGGAAAATATCCAGGAAAGCTAAACAGAAATAAATATTCTCCAGTTAAAAGATGTATTTCACGTTACCAGAGTCAGAAAAAGCAATGGATGCTTCCCTGGACTTAAATCCACGTTAAATACTAACTGCATAAACACATTTAGTGAGCACAGAGGCTTCATCTGTCTGCTATTTCTAGAATGCTTTGTAAGGAGGAGAAAAAGCAGAGCAGCTTTGTAATGGGAGCTGCCACAAATGTATCAGAGTGCTTAGGCAGTCATGGAAAATTCCACACAAACCTTGATGCTCTGACCAGCAAACCAAGTGCAGGTTGGCTGCAAAACGCCTGCACCAGCCACGGGCAGGAGATGCAGGTCAGACTCAGGGAAACACATCAATCCTTTTACAGGTTCCAAGTGTTTATTTGCAGAGCTGCTTCTCATACAATCATAGAATCATCAGGGTT